GTCAGGTAACTCCTAGCAGTCATTTTCATAGAACATGGTCAGATCTGATCAGTTCTTAGATATTTAGTTGTTGCTCATCATTTTAATTAAAGCACATAACTAACCAACTCGAAGGCTGCTCATGTATTGTTTCAGAGGAGATGTGGGAGGAGGTAGACAACCTGCAGTCTTGTCATCTTCAAAAAAAAGCTGTTTGCACTAAGCAATGACAAGAGTTAATGACAAAACTCCTGGAAGAAGAAAATTTTTACAGTGTGTCTTAAACTACAGTGTGGGCCTATTTTGCTGAAGTGTTTCTTAAATTCAATTGTTAATTTATTTGGGTCCTGAAAAGGTCACCTCTCCCTGTACCTTCACACCAGGTTCATGCTGACATGAGTAAATCATGTGGTGCAAGCCATCAATTGAACATGATCTTTCCAATTTAGCTTGACCCCCTTTCCAATATAGCAATTATATTTTCTTCTTACAGTCTCCGGTTTAACCCACTTATGCCCAACCTGACTCATAAAATTTTAGGGGAAATAGCTGGGCTCCTAACTATCAAAAAAAGAGGGAGGGGGCAGGTATTGTTTTTAACTGGGACATTTCAGTGATCCAGTTTCCAGCACAGCCAGCCTTGCTCCAGCAGCATGATGAGGGCAAGGGCAAGTTTTGGCGTGGCAAGGGAACAAGCAGTTGCAACCAGGGAAAGAAGACTGGGAGAAACGAGGTGGGGGGTGCAGAAGAAGGACACCTTAGGCTTGTCTCGTTGCAAGCCTCCTACAGCCACATCAAGAAGCTCCTGTCACAGGCCAAAACCCCCATCTTAGGTGCTGAACAAGCATGAAGTTAAATTAGCTGTAAATAAAAAAAAAAAAAAAAAAAAAAAAAAAAAAAAAAAAAAAAAATAGGATATACACATAAAGTAAACCATGGGACAGGTGAGTATAGTAAGGCTAATGAAGTTTTAGGTCTTTTTAAAATGCCTTGGGATTCTTCATAGAAAATACAAGATTTATGCTACACAAGTTAAGAATTAACTCTAAATCAGTCCTTAAAAGAGAAAGAGATAAAGAGGGAAGTACAATAAAAAACAAAGGATGTGGTGAAGGTCAAAGGTGAGAAGAACTGCAGAAGTCATGAACTTTTTCACATTCAAGGCTAAAACTAACCACAGAGTGCAAGATCAGACTGGTTCAACTAACCATGGGGTCAACAAAATCAGGCAAGTCCTACTCTGTCCAGAAATACCTATTTGCCATATTTGTATTTATCTTTCTAGTAGCTTAAAAGACCCCAAGACAAAGAGACCTTTTGGTGTTGATTTTGTGTGTGTTTAGGTTTTGACCTATAGGTGCTTCTTCATGCTGCTTCATCATGTGAAATCTAAAGCTTGTCCAACAGCTGGCCACTTGATTGTGTCCCTTGACAGAGTTGTTGCTTAGACCTGATGCATATTCAGTTTTTAAATTATTCTATTATGATTTAAAAAATTAACTACCTGTTTTTCTTTAAAGTAATGTTTGTGATGTTTGGGGGGGTGGGGGTAGGAGTGGTCTTTATTCCATGGTTAACATTTTCCATAAAGCTCTTTTAAAATTGTTTTGGAGGTCACTGCAGCAGATTCTTCAAACTCCACATGTCTCTGTCAGATTCAGGTCAGGGGAAAGGAAGGACGGGTATTATTAGTGTTTGTGCAACAAACCCATAACTTGGCCCTAAAAAAAGCAGGCATTTAGAAAGGTATGCTTCATGTACTTACAAAGCATTTTTTCCTCAACCAAACTAGTCCTGTCTTCTGAAGCTCACACTGCGGCAGCAATGATCATTACAGGCTATTTTCTTGTAAGGCTTCATATACTGCAAAGGAGGAACAGCAGTTTTCTGGAACAAACTTTAACTCAGTTGATTTGGTTCCTCTTGAATTTGGCAAATTCAAGACAAAAATTATCAGGGGAAAACTCAACAAATCACAATTTAGTTTTTATATGAGCTAGCAGCCAGATGTCATAAAGACAGGAATTAGCTAAAATACATAACAACCCACTTTAAAATTGGTAATGAAAACATTCCCAGGGCTCAGCTGGACAGCATCTGCCACCTTTCTAGCAAGAGTTATCTTTATCACTTTTCAAGCGATTCCTCTTGCCTTGGACTTCATGTTTCTTTCAAAAGCAGAAAAACAGTGTAGGAATCCACAAGATAAACTAAATAGCCGATAGCTACATTTCACAGGAGGTTACTGGCAGTAGCTGTAAATTTAAACAACAATAAAATATAAAAGAGCATAACAACGTTCATGTTAAACACTTTGACCCCTAAGAATGCAGCACAGGGGCAGAATTCTGAGACCAAGAGATGATAACCAAAAATAGATTTCTTTTTTCTATTTACTTTGACCACTTCCTCCTTCCAATTTAATAGCAACTGTTGTAAAGCATAAAAAACAGTTACATCAGTGAAGCCCTGGGTTAACAGGTACCATACATTAAAACAAATTGCCTTCTCCCAGGACATCAGATGCTTCAGTCTGGGAACACCAGCTCTCTGAATAAACTTCAGTCAGGAGGTATATCCTTGCACCAGGCAACTCATGACCATCCCTCCTCACTGCTTCAAGTACCTCACACTGAGGGCAGGATTGGAGAGCACTCACATCACCCTCACAGATGGGTCTTTGCTGAAAATGTTTGCAGTTAGCCCAAACAGACACTGGTTTGGCAGAAGTTTTAAGCCATTGTCTCTGCCTTCCAGATTACAGGCAGTCAATGCAATCAAAACCAACCAATCAGTCAAAAAAAAAATATTTGAAGGTTTCCTGCCAACTCCTACCTCAGCATCTGTCTGACCTGGGACAGGGATGCAGAGTCTGTGCAGGGCAATGATTTTGTAGCCTGGGACCCTACTGAGAGGATATTATGGGTGATGGCTAGAACAATGTCCTCCCCCATGCACAGAATCACATCACTTCAACTGAAAGACATCTACATGAATACCAACAAAACACTCATCCCACACTGCCGGGCCATTAGGGGTTTGCCCTCACCATTGCACAGAGTGTAAGACAGCATAAATTGAGACTGGCATCTCAGCTGGGTTTGTATCTGTATTTGCTCGTATTTGACTACAGGGCACATTTAAATCATCGGTGCCCAACGTCACTGGCCCTGTTATCACACAGTAAAGTATGATATACAGTTCCCTTGTCCATCATCTGACACTGCACTCTGCCAAACCTACATTTTAAGATGCTTCACATTCAGAGCTGCCATTCTTGCAGATAAAACATGCATCTTTGCAGCACTAATTAACTTGAATGTCATACTCAACAATTGCACAGTAAGACAATCTTCAACTTAATGTATTTCAGCACAGAAAATGAAAATGTGGGTTATAAAAACAATTCACTCATGAGGCATCCATACTTACAGGAAGTGAAATACATCCAGTTGTGCCCAATGTCCTACCATCTGTGCCAAGCCTATTGATAAACCTTCCCTGACAGGATGAAATACTGCTCCTGTAGAGGCAGCCTTAACATAATATGCCTCTACAGCACTGGGCTGGACTAGGTTTGAAAAACAGCCTTTTATAATACACAGATGAATTTAGCACTTAAGAAGATTAATGGATTCATAAATAGCCTGAAAATCCAAACTTATTGAATTTAGTTCACAGAACAGGTCAAATAGGCATTTATCAAACCATCTGGCATCTTTCTTTCCTGGGGGAAAAAACTGTGGTCGAGCTACAGATAGCTGAGGAGCCATCACACCAGAGAAGGTTGGGTTTTCCCTGTACTCAGCTTTCTTCTAGAAATCGCTGGTACTAACTGGAAAGCAGTCTTCTTGGACAGAGTGCTGCAGCCCAAAGCAGACCGCCCCAAGGCATGTGTCCTGAAGCTGCTGGAGATGCCACCTTTTTCCTGGCAAAAATGTGCAAGCAAAAAAGCAGCTTCCCTGTCTCACATGGCAGCTGCTCCTGGAGTTCATTTTGCCATTTTGTGCATGAGCTGATGTTGCCTTGCAACAGAGCTGTTTGCCCTATGGGCTGTGGGACCATCCCTGGGGTTGGTCACAGAGGCACTGGGTGCCAGGGCTGCTTGAGGCCAAGGGCAAGGGCATTAACTCTCACTCCAGGCTGACCTGGCCTGGCTGGTGTCCTGCTTTCGACCAGGATGGAGTTAACTTTCATTGGAGTATTTCATACCATGTGAGGTCATGCCCAGGGATATAAGGGGGCTGGCTCGCTTGGGTGGGAGTGGGGTTTTCAGTCTGGTCCAGGTGTGTGTTGCGTGGGGGGTGGGGGGCGTCGCCGCGCTCAGTAAGCCACTGCTGCATTTTACCCGTTTTCTTTTTGGACTCACTATTGTTACTGTTGTTCTCTTGTTATATTTAGTAAATTCTTTTTATTCAACCTACGAATTCTCTTCTTTTTGTCCCTCCCCTATATGACTGGGGAGGGGGAGGTGAACAGCCAGCCATGTGGCGTCTGGCTGCGGGCTGAGTTCAAACCTCAGCACCCAAGGCACCTTTGCTGAAGCATTGAGCCCTTTCTGAAAAAGTTTATTTATCTCCCCAGTTCTCTCAGACTGTCACGGATGTAAGAGGGCACAGGAGCTGCTAAGAAAAGGTCTTTATGTGTTGAATTTGTACATTACCCACCCTTTTTCAGTCGTTCAGTGCCTGAAGTCCATCTTCAGCTGGCCTGTCCTTTTGCATACGTTTTTGGGTACTCACCAATGTGTGACTGGGGGAAGGGCCAGAGGCACCAACAGTTACCCTCAGTTGCTTTTAGCCAATGTGTTGTCCATACTGAACCACCACCTTAGGGAAGCATGAGCCAGGGGCAGTTCACCCTCTGCCACTGCTGCTCCAGCACCTGCAGGGACCGAGCCAGGGCAGGGGTGGAGATGACATTCATGTTGAACTGCTCATGAAAAGGCAGAGGTTGGGGATGGGGTGGGGTGGGAGAAGGTTTAGGAAAATATTTGAAAGGGGTTTTTTAAAGTAATTTCAATTTTTATTCCTATTTCATTATGTTTTAGCAGTAATGAAAGATCGTGTATGTTGTATCATTTCATATGAACATGTACACCATAGTACGATAACCCATGTATAATGAATTAATATAATTAAAATATCACAGAACTGTATTTCTATATAATCACACATTTTTTAAAGCATTGCTACTTAATACAAATGTAAGCACAGTCGTGTTCTAAGTAAAAGTGTCTATTCTTTATGCTGCAATAAATAGCTTGCCATTTGCTCTAGACCATAAAAAGGACATTCATGTGTACCCATTTGAGTAGCCTACAAAAAAAAAAAAGCAGCCGAGTAATTCAAGGAGCTCAAGAAAAATTGGGTTTTGAGCAGTTAATTTATTTTTCAGAGAATAATATCAAATTATTTTATTAATGTACTCTTATAGAGAAAACACAATAAGTCTCTCTGGTCACAGTAGCAGCTTTCACTGAAGATTTCAAAGATAAAACATGTAAGATATCATATAAAAGAAAATGACGGCATAGTTGGTTAGTACAGCATAATATGACACACTATGTAGTACACATTAATGGTGGAAATACAAAATATGTAGTTGAGCCTGGTTGCATTTGCCATCATAATGTTCTGCTCCTGCTGTCATGCCATGAAATAACCTACAAATAAAGACAATATATTCTTTGAAACAATATATTAATTGAAAAATAAAACCACATTTGAAACAGATGTTAGCAAGTAAGCTGTCACACTGAAACAGCTTTTCCTCTGAGAGAATTTTTGACAAACATGGGTCCATCTGGTTCTCCTGCACCTGTGCCAGGGTAGCAGGGGGGAGAAAGGATCAAAATCCTGTCTGTAGTCATGGCCAAAACACTGTGCCTGTCCCAGACCCACCTGGGGAAGGTGCCCTCCCCAGATGCTGTTCTCCTGTTTATGAGGGCTAGTGCTGCAACCCTGGATGCTGCCCAGGACAGCCCTGCTGCCCCCACACACACTGGTGGAAATCAGGAATAGCTCACCAGCCTTCAGCAGCACCCACCATGGCTGTGGGTGTCTGTCAGGATATGAAGAGGGGTTCTGGTTTTGCTGCCTTGTCTTGCTCTCATACAGTCAGTGGTTGGGTCAACCAGATTTGGCCCAACGGAATAAACGGCACTGCACTGCCACCCGTACAGACCCCCATTCTCTCTGCTCCCATCAAGGGACATCTCATGTTTCCAACCAAACCTCAACCCTACTGCCATTCTTTCATTGCTCATATTCCACACAGCTCTGCCAGTGTCCAGGAGGCTCTGAAACCCCACTGGGTAGGTTTCTCACCTGGAGTGAGACCCAATCTTGAACCAGATCCCGCCAGCTCTCACGGGAATCTGGAGCCAGATCCAACCAATACAACCTGGGAGAGTTTGGAGCCAGATATGTATGCTAGGCCCACAATACTAACTTTTCCCTAAAGACTAGGTAGGTACAGGGATTAAATGCTTAAGCAGGACCCATGCACCAGGCAGCCCTTGGACTATTTGTGCTGCAAAATAATCACTGTAAAAAGTGCTGGGAGGTAAAAAAACAAGACAGCCTCAATACAGTCCTTCCCCACCCCAGAAGAAACCCCATCCATCAGTCCATCCATCTGCGTGGCGTTACTGTAGACTTCAGTGGTGTTTGTCACCTCTTCGGGAAGGCCCATCTGGAGCAAGAGTTTGGAGATAAGGCTGTTGAACTTGCTCTCTGTGGTAGACCAAGGCTCTTCACTTGGGGTCGGACCTTCGGATGTGACATTTAGCTCCACCGGGTCAAGACAGTAACCTTCTGGTGATCTCTCATAAAACACGTCCATCAGGTCAATCCCAGCTACTGAGGAGGGGGAGGCACAGGGAATATCCCTGACAAGCTTGTAGTTCTCCATCCACTCCTTCAGCCACTGGATGCGGCAGTCGCATTCCCAGGGGTTGCGGAAGAGGTACAGCCGCCCAAGGAAGTACACCGGCTGGAAGACAGAAAAGGGCAGCGTCGTCAGGTTGTTGCTGTTCAGGTGTAATGCAACCAGGCTGGTGAGGTTTTCAAAAGCCCCTTCCTCAATGTAGCTGATCCTGTTGCGGTCCAGGTAGAGGACCTCCAGCTCCCCTAGGTCCCTGAACCAGGTGTTGGAAACATTCCTGAGGAAATTTCCCCCCAAGTTGAGCATCTTCAGGCACCTCAGACCATCAAAGGAGTTTTCTGGAAGCTCGCTGATCAAATTGTCATTCAGGTACAGATACTCCATCTTCTGGCAGCCCTGAAAAGCTCGTTCATGAATGACATTTATCCTGTTGTCCTGCAGATTCAGGTATTTCAGCTTGGTCAGGCCCTGCAGGGAGTTATAGGCTACTGCTTCAATCCTGTTTCTCTCCAGGTAAACGCGGGTCAGGTTCTCCATGCCCCTGATGGCACCTGGGATCCTCCGGAAGTTGTTCTGGAAGCAGAAGAGCTCCTGCAGAGCAGGCAGCTCAATAAAGATCCTGTCCGGGATATTGAAAAGATTGCAGTCCGCCAGGTCCAGCTTGACCAGCCGTCTGAGGGCAGTGAAAGTCCGTGTGTGGAGATAGCGAATGTACTCGTTGTGGGCCATCTTCAGCTCGGTCAAGCTGGGCAGTCCCTTGAAAGCCCCCGGGGTGATAAAGGAGATATTGTTGTGGTTGAGTGACAGGGATTTGAGGGAAGGCAAGGTCCCAAAGGCCCTCTCGGAGAGGAACTTGATACTGTTTTTGTCCAGGTTGATATACGAGGCTTCACAAGGGAACTCGCTAGGGATCTGCCCCAGACCAGCGTGATTGCAGAGGACAGAGCAGCTCCGCTCCTGAGTGCACACGCAGTTCGCAGGGCAGGACCGCACACAGGCCCACACCGCCTGGACGTGGGGGACCCAGAGGATCACTGTCAGAAGGAACACGCCATCCCCACGGAGGTGTGGGAGGAAAGAATCAGGATGCATCATTAACAAATTTATTCATCACAACAGGAAAAAGAACATATGCTGTCATCGCCTCCCTTCTAGCCAGGCTAATTGCTACATACTAATTGTACAATAGTGCTGACCAAGGAGCTCATGTGAACAATTCCTAAAAATCTTCTACTGGCGTTTTTAAACCCTCTGAGAATATCATCTAGAACATCACCTCTGATTAATTTCTCTCAAGAGGGAGACTCACCTAGACTTTAATTAGCAGTGTCTCTGTGTCTGGTCTCTCTGCAAGCTGATGGGACATGGTTTGGCCAGAGAGCAGGCAGAGATCTTTTGAAGGCCAGCAGCTGTGGATGGGTTGCAGTATTTTTGGGTCAGGAAGAGGGAAGGGCAGTGTATTCTAGTCCAGCAGTGGGCAGGGGAGATCATTTAGTTGCCTGGGGCACATCAAATTCATGTGTTTTGTTTCTTTCTTTTCTTTGTTCATTCAGCATAATGTTTCTCTGCTGGAGCCATGAGCTGGTGCAGCACCACAAGTGGAAATATCAGGTCTTAAGGATGCAGTGTAGTGTTTAAGAACATTGCCGCTGTGTACTGGTGGAATAGCATGAGGAAGAACAAATTAAGGAATATTGTTCAACTGCTTTCTTCATGATCTCATCATAGATGAGATACTCTGCACCTCCAGCACAGTTTTTACTCTTTTGCCAATTCTCAAGACAGTCACCACAGTGTGTTATGCTTGATGAGAGCTGTCACTTTGTCCTTTTATCAGCCTGACATGGGAGGTGTGGCTCTTGTGGTTTCTTTCACATTAGACCCACAAGGTACGTGTACAACAAGGAGAAGGAAAAAGCTCTTGGAGACAAATCAGAGAAGAATGAATGGAACGAGAGACATCAACCTCCATGGACAGGCATTTTTGTGGGGAAAAAACATCCAGTCAACCAGAAGTCTGCAAAATAGACTAATTAGAGAGGAAGAACTGAAGGCAGAGTTCATTTTGTAAGTGGTCTCAAAGACACATCCTACCTGCTGCTCAACAAAATGAGAAGCCGCACCAGCGAACTCTCCATGTAGTCACTAGCAGGAAACTGTGGTATTGCTACTGACAGGTTTTAATGCTGCAGTTTACTGGCTCCTACACAAGCACAATCCATTTATATGTTTTTCAACAAGACATGAGATACTGTCTTTACCAACAGCCACCTTTATTACAGCACTACAGGGAATCGCACTGCTGCTGCTGCATGCCTGGTAGCCCCAAGGGCTGAGAGACGAGGAACAGGCTTTCTCCCATGCTCCTGCTGGCTGTCTGGAGGCAGAAGTTCCGAGCAGCTGAGCTGCCTCTCCCTGCCAGTTTGCAGCACAGCGACTGCCCACTACAGCTGTATTCCCAATGGACATTTTATCAAGGCAGACTTGTGAGGTGATATGCCAGGAAGCATCAGCTGCAGCAAGGGTCAAGCTTTTATTTTTGCAGCCCCTAAGGCTTTAATGTACAAATCAAACTATATGATCAAACTTCAAACTGCAATTGCTCTGCCCTTTCTCCATCCTTTTAAAAGGCAACATGCACAGTAGTGTATTTATGAGTTTATGCTGCCTGTGGCTTCTTCAAGCAGGAGACTTACAAAACCAGTTGCTGTCCAGGTCCCCACTGACAAGACATCAACCCAGGAGCTGCCCAGCCTGGTTCTGTTCAAACCAACCTGGTCCCTGCATGTAGAAGACGGATTTAGATATGTGAAGAAAGCATCCCCGAATGACTTTAGCTGAATTTATCGAAATTCAGGTGCCATCAAGCCTGGCCACACTATTGTGCCCAGAGAATTAGCAAACCAGCAACACTTCAAGGATAAATGATAGTGAAAGATTCCAAGAGGTGGAAAAGATTTTAGACAGTTTGTAATTTGTTTGTTTGTATGCTCTTCTCCTTTTCCCTGGGCCCTTATCTAACATCCTCAGCTAAAAGTAAGTAAGAAAGTCCCCTTCAGTCAAGGCTCTGGGTAGATGATAGGTGAGGAGCCCAAGGACAAGAGCAGGGACAACACGCCAGTCTTGGATTGCTCTTTTGTGCAGCCTGCCCAGGGGCTTCCCTCGTTTGCCACCCTTTGCACCAATCCACGCTGCTGTTTGCCAGCAGGGGCATATGTTGTTTTTGCTGCACGGTTACATAAACTGAAGGCCAGACAGATTAAGGATTTGCCTGTTCCCAAATGTCTGACCGCAGGTGGCTGTCTGGGAACAGCCGATGCAAGTGTTGCTGCTGGAACAAAAGCCTTGCATAGGCTCAGGGTGACATCCAGAGGGGCATATGTGCATAGGCTGTCCTAGATGTGAGACTGTCCCAAGCAAGTTCAATGCTTATCCACAGCTACCCCAAGCTCAGACACAGCCCTGGCCTTCAGAGCAAAGCTCCCTCAGCAGCTGTGTACACAGTGTGCAGTGTAGGAATGAGCATGATGATGATAACCAAATCCCATCCTTCCCCTCCCTGCTTGTTCTCTAATCACTTGATAAAGGAAATGTCTGTAGTCAAGCCATATCCAGCCTGTTCTCCTTATACACAAGGGGGTTTTAGTGCCAAATCTGGGTCTTTTGCTAGTGGCATTTCACAGCATACTCCCAAGATCTCTATTTACAAGCGTATCTCTTTGCATTCTGCAGTACATGGAAAACAAACACTTGCAGACCATCCAACTAGAACACAATCTCCTGGCAATAGTTCAGAGGAGCCCCTCAGCACTGCAATCTTTGTGACAACTCTTCCCTCTTTCTCTTGCAAAGGAAGACAGAAAAAGTCCTCCACCTGAAGTCCACCAAACCCTTGGCAGAGCTGCTGCCCAAGAGAGCGCAGGAGATCAGATCTCCACTGGTGGCCAGATCTCCTGTGACCAACATTGCATGAAGCATTTCCACCTCTCCTTCCTTATTCCTTCCCCTTCCCCAAAAAGGACACTCTTTGCTTTTTACACTGTGCCAGCAGACAGGACAGCAGCTGGAAGATGCCTCATGAACACAAAGGGTGCTCAAATGACATGTGTGTTTAAGAAAAAGGATGAAATACAGCAAAAAGGTCAAAAATATTTAAGGAATAAACAAAATTCCACCCAGGGATGATGTATTTTGCTCTTTTAAATACTATGGTAATTAAATATTTGAAAGGGTGGGAGACAAAAAAAAATGTTTGCAGAGTTTTCAGAAGGGTAAAGAGAAAGTGATCGCAATAACTGAGTATTTAACCTACACCTTTCCAAACGATCCGTCTAATCCACTACTGGGTAATGCAGAATAAGAGTATACTCACCATTTAAAATGATGGCAAACATTACCTTGATTATTCACTAGTGGCATTTCAGGTCTGGCAAGTGAACTTGAGGGATCTAAAAGCACACAGGAAGACCAGAGACAGGTTTCATCCTCTGTCATTTCTCTACATCATTTTCCCAAAATAAGGTCTATGTTTAGAAAAGAAGAGCAAGGCAAAAGCTCCACTCCCACATGCTTTCAAACTGAAGAAGTCCCCAGCACCTTCCTGGTGTCTTTCTTCGACCACTGACCTTCTCAGGAAATCCTGCAGCTTTGTGCTACACCTTTTCACAAGCTCATCCACATTCTTCACCCCAGACATGTAAAGGGTAGGTTCCTATCATCTGAGGTGGGAAAAGATCACCAACAGTAAGAGACTGGCCAGCTCCCCAGGAAATATGTGCTGGTACAGAGGAACGTAACCAGCTTAGCATCAAACAGTCAAAACTAAAATTCCCAACAGAAATCATCTTAGATACATTGCTTACCTAGCCAGGCAGTGGCTGTGTCCTCCCTCCTGCTCATGAGGCTGCCATTAGCCCTACAAGTCAGCCTCTGAAAAGTTGGCATTTTTTTCTCACAAGCTATCATTTAATGGCAGGAAAATCCTCTGTATCAGAGGAGGATTAGCAGAGATGGAAAAAAATGTGTCTGTCCTCTAAAGCTCCTAAAGCAAAACAGGGATTGCAGACAAACCAAACTGCCACTTTCTCCCCTCTGCAAACCTACTCTCCCCCCCAGCCACTAAAAGAAGGAAAAAAAAAAAAGAAAAAAAAAAAAGGTACAGTCCAGAATTCAACCTCTACCATTCAAACAGCATTGCTGAAAGATATTACTCGACTTCCCATTATATAATGGCAGAGAAGGTGGGAGTGAAGGGTGCAGCCTAAATGGGATTATATTTGGGGGAAGTGCAGGCTTATGGTTTCCCTTCACTGAGCTCTCCAAACAGACACAGGTTGGGGCTCTCTTTCCCCATGCACACTTTCCCAGGCCCAGCATGGCTCACACGCTGCTAACAGGATGCCAGTGTGCTTTGCTTTGCTTTGCTGGGAATTGCTCCTGAAGGACAAGGAGATGCCAACAGCACTGGGAGAAGAGTCAGCAAACACAGGAGCTTGCATAGTGTATATGGCCTTGATAATCATGAACTCTGCCCTGTCTATCAGTGTGTTTTGCTTGTGATACTGCAGCTGGTGCATGGAAATTACACGGAGGGGTTCTTGTGGCAATGTTTTAGCGTTCAGGATGTGAATTGGTTTTTAAAGCCTTTTTTGACAGAATTATGGTTTCTTTGGAGAGTAGGGACTGAATAAGTAAGTTATCTCAGCCTTCCATGCCTTAGGTAATTGCATTCACCATGTCAGAGGGAAAAATAGCTCTCTTTATTTCTAAAAGTGAATTGTTATGCTTTTTTTTTTTTTTTTTTTTTTTTTTTTTTTTTTTT